CCACCTGCAGGGAATGACCCTGATTGGCCCGGATGAGGGGGCCAGTGCTGGGGTCCCCTGGCTGCAGGGCAAAGCGCTGCTTCCCATTGGTGTCCACCACGCGTTGAATATCTTCAGCTGAGAAGCTGCGGAACTGGGGCAGCTGCAGGAGGGCGTCCAGGGGCACGAAACCATCTGTGGGAAGGCAGGGTGGTAAGGAAATGACCTTGCTCTGGCCTGGGCCAGAGTTCACAGGGGAAGCCTCAGACCGCAAGACCAGAGCCTGTGTGACCTTTAGAAAGTCTCCCCTTTCTGGGCCTCAGTCTCTCACCTTACATGAAATAGGCTCTGTCTCACATGAGACAGGACCCTCCCTGTATCACGGAGGGTCACAAAGATCAAGGGACGCTTTTGAGGACAGAATGTGGCCCAGAGTGGACACTCAATAAACATCAGTTGCCTCATCACCCCGTGCCCAATCTTGGCGTAAGTGTTTATTGGGCCACTGGGCTGGAGGTATCACCAGGCCTGGCCAGACACAGGCTCCTCTCCTAGTCCGTCCTGGACATGATCCTGGGCTCTGGGCCTCAGCCTTCCCTGTACATGGCGGGGATGTACCTTCTGTGCTGTCCCCACAGGACTGTGGCGGGAGCCGTGGGGGAAGGCGATTACCGACCTGCTCACACTACTCCCTGGGCTCCAAGCACTTCTGGGCCCAGCCCCTAAGACACTCACTTACCGGCCCTCATGGGAAGGCCCAGCTTCAGGGCCCCATGACGCAGGGCGTAGGACAGGGCCTTGGACAGCTGTACATCTCGGTCCTGAAAGAGCCCAGCGGTGACCCTTAGGCCCAGTGGTGACCCCGCCTGCCCAGCTGCTCACCCTGAAATCTGAGTGACCTGCTGCAGAAGGAGACCAGAGGGGCAGCAGTCCCTGTGCTCCTGGGAACAGTATGACCCAGCAGCTCCCGCTCCCACACCATCAGCATTTCCCAGGGAGCAGGGCTCAGAGCTGCCCTCCCCTGCCCTCCCACATGGGGAGAAGGGGGGAGGGTGGAGAGGGAAGCACCTGTTCCCTGGGGGGTCTGTGAGCCCTTCTACCCTTGGGCCCAGCTGCTTCCCGCCTCCTTCCTCCAGAGGAGTTCATGGCCAAGACCTGTGGGGAGCAGTGACATGGGAGACAGTTAAGGACCCTCCCACGTCCCAATGCTGCCCAGTGCCACAGAGCTTCAGGACGTGAGAACTGGGAGGGGTATATTCAGATCACTAAACTCACTTCCCACCCCAAACTCCCTGGAGCCGATAGGGAAACTGAGGCCCAGCAGGCAAGACTTGCCCAAGGTCACACTACGTCAGCCACGGGGCCCAGGGAAGCCGAGATCCCGTGACCCAGGCTCGCTGATCTGCTCCGCAAGGCGCGCCTCGCCGGCATCCAGGCTAAGGGGCGGAATTGTTTGGGCCGGCCAGACAGATGGAACAGGGACAGACAGGAAGGCTCACCGATTCCGGGTGTGGGGCAGCTGATTCGGCGGGGCCCTGAGCGCCGGGACCGGCCAATGAGAAGCCGAGAAAGAAGGGGGCAGGCACTTCCGCTCCGAGGAAAGGGGCGGAGCCTGAGGGAGAGTGGGCCGGTGAGTGCCGGCTGGAGGCTGGAGCTTCAGGACCGTGGGAGGGGGTCCCGGCGTGTCTAGGGTTGGAGCCAGGACCTTTGGTTTGCGGAGACAGGGGCATTGGGGGGGAGGCAGGACCTTTGGTTTGGGGAGACAGGGGCACTAGAGGGAGACAGGACTCAGGACCTCTGGGTTGTAGGGATGCCGAGGAGTCTAAGAGATGTCTGGTAGCAGGAGCCTTGGAGCTCTTGCTGGGATGATACGACATTTTACTGCCCAGGGAGTGGTCAGGGGGGTGCAGAAGGGCTGGGGGTACCCTCAGGAAGTCTGTGATAGAGGGGACCAGCTGCCGGGCCCAAGGGAGGCTGTGGGTCCCCCGAGGTGACAGGCTTGGCTGTGTCCTCCCCAGAACTGCCCTCTCCAGGCCATGGACCCTGAGGTGTCCCTGCTGCTGCAGTGCCCCCAGGGGGGGCTGCCTGAGAAGCAGGTACAAGCTGAGCTGAGCCCAGCCTATGACCGTCGCCCGCTGCCAGGAGGGGACAAGGCCATCGCCACGATCTGGGAGAGCCGGCTTCAGGCCCAGCCCTGGCTCTTTGATGCTCCCAAGTTCCGCCTGCACTCCGCCACACTGGCGCCCACTGGCTCGCCAGGGCCACAGCTGCTCCTGCGCCTGGGCCTTACTTCCTATCAAGACTTCCTGGGGACCAACTGGGCCAGCTCAGCTGCCTGGCTGCGACAGCAGGGGGCCATCGACTGGGGTGACAAGCAAGCCTATCTGGCGGACCCTCTGGGTGTGGGCGCTGCACTGGCCACTGCTGACGACTTCCTTGTTTTCCTGCGCCGCTCTGGCCAGGTGGCTGAGGCACCTGGGCTGGTGGACGTGCCCGGTGGGCATCCTGAGCCTCAGGTGAGATGCCAGGCTGGGCACAGAGGCACAAAGACCCACAAAGTTCAGCTTTGTCTTCCTCATCTCTTAAAAGGGGAGTTGGCCTGGTGCTTCTCTGAAGTGTCTTCTTAGGGGTAGCCTCTCAGCCTCTCTGCTGAATTCTGCCCCAGACCCATGGGAAGCTAGGGAACTGGGGATGGGAGTGGGGATGGAGAACCTAGCTGAACCTGTGGTTGCCCAGCTGGAAAAAGAGGGCTGGGGTCAGAGAAAGTGGCCCTCAGGGCCAGTGAGTGTGGGGGGAAAGCAGGGCAGAAAGAGGGTAGCAGAGACTGAGCTTGACTTCCTACAGGCCCTGTGCCCAGGTGACAGCCCCCTGCACAAGGACCTCCCTGGGGAGCTGGTGGTACACGAGCTCTTCTCCAGTGTCCTCCAGGAGATCTGTGATGAGGTGAGTGAGGGGCAGGCAGAGCAGAGTAGTGGGCAAGGAGGGAGGAGGTAGGACAAGCCAGAATTCCACAGGTCCAGAGTGGCACATGGCTTGTGGGATCTTAGTTTCCTGACCAGGGATTGAACCCAGGGCTTCGGCAGTGAGAGTATGGGACTCCTAACTACTGGACTGTCAGGGAAGTCCTAGGCATCCGGCATTGAGCAAAGAGCTTGGCTTTGCAGCTAGGCACACTTGAGGTGGAATTCTAACCATTTCTCTATGTGCCTCAAGGTTTTCCTCCCTACAATGGGGATAATGATAAATGTCTTGCCTACTCTGCTGCCAGGTTTGTTGAAAAGAGGGATAAATAGGAGTCCCAGTTACTAAATCAACTTCCCCTGGGTGACTCTGGGCAAACTGTTCATCTCTCCAGTTCTGTTTTTCCCACATGAAATGAACGTGTCCAAGATCTGACTTTCTGTGACTCCTGGCACTTGAACTACAAACTATAAAATGCTGTATTAGGGTAACATGCTGTTCTTCACTGAGGGGGCAGGGATGTGGGCATTGGGCACTGAGAGGTGGTACCCCTGGCCCCAGGTGAATGTGCCGCCACTCACCTTGAGCCAGCCGCTGCTGTTGGGCATCGCCTGCAATGAGACCAGTGCCGGCCGTGCCAGTGCTGAGTTCTACATCCAGTGAGTGATCTCTGGGGGACAGAGTCCTGGGTCCTGGAGTAGGTGGGTGGTTGAGGGGCATGGCTGAGGGAGCCGGGGCTCCACAGGGACCCTCTGGGGCTAAGCACTCACCAGGCCACTCTCACATCCTGTCCAGGTGCAGCCTGACTTCTGAGCAGGTGAGGAGACACTACATGAGTGGGGGACCTGAAGCCCACGAATCCACAGGAATCATCTTTGTGGAGAAACAGGTTCGAGGTGGCCAAGTGTGTCATTTGGATAAGCAGCTGGGTTGGGGCCTGCAGAAGCCTGGTGATGCACGTGTCTCCCAGGCCTGGGTCAGACAGGGCTCCCAGATCTCAGAGCTTCTCTCCAGAGCCACAAGTCCTCACGGGGTTGCCTTCGGCCCAAGGGAGAGTGCCGGAGACCTGCTCAGGCCCCTTAACATGAGGCTCTGAGGCTCAGGAACTGTGGGCACGGCTCCCCCAAGAAACCTGAGGCTGAGATGTCTGGGTCTCACTGTCTCTCCCCACAGAGTATGCAGAGGTTGCCAGAGACTGAAATGTGGGCTGAGCTCTGCCCCTCAGCCAAAGGCGCCATCTTCCTCTACAACCGGGTCCAGGGAAGTTCCACCTGAGTCTCCTGGAGTTCCCAGCCCTATCACCACAGCTCGGAAGACAATAAAGGACTTTATTCTTGGATTCCTTTGGCATCTGCTGTTTCCATGAGACAGAGGGGGCCACTGGGAGAGCCCAGGGTGGGTGAGAGAGACGGGACAAGTGACTTGGGTTAAAAAAAGGCCCAGCCTCAGTTTTCCCCCCTGCAAGCTGAGGGCCGTGCCCCTTTGCCAGGTTCCAGTGAGGTTCCAGGCTGACTATGGGGTGGGTGGAAGGGTTTCCCGAATCTGCCTGCAATGCAGGAGACCGGGTTTGATCCCTGGGTCTGGAAGATTCCCTGGAGAAGGAAATAGCTACTCACTCCATTATTCTTGCCTGGAAAATCCTATGGACAGAGGAGCCTAGAGGGCTACAGTCCACGGGGTCGCAGAGTCGGACACGACTGAGCGACTAATTTTCACACTTCACTTTACGGGTGGAAACTGCTTTGTGAAATGTTTCTCGGCGCAGAGTGGAGTAACAGCCATGTCCGAAGGAGTGAGCAACAGAGCTGAAAGCCTCAGGACTAGTCCCACCGGCTCCCCGGGTGGGTCCCAGCGCCTTTCTGCAAGCCCTCCGGCCTGGGTGAGGCGTAAAAGGCCAATGGGCGCTCGGGGGCGGGGCTTCGCCGAACGGACGCCCCTTCGGGCTTGTGGGCGTGTCTGGGTGTCTAAGCCAATAAGAGTGCGGAGGCGGGGCCTGGGTAAGAGCAGGAAATGGCGGCCGCCGCGGAGTCCGTGAGTGCGGTGAGGGCGGGGCTTGGTGTGGCTCCTCCTGCACCCGCCCCCCACAATACTCCCAGGGTGGGGAGGGGGTCTCCGAGTCCCGGGCTAGTGGTCCAGACTCCGAGACGAACGTGGAGGGGGGCCTTGGACGCACGGGACAGAGGCGGGGACCGGGCTAGAACACAGGTCTGGTTTTCAGCAAGAAGGCTCCAAACGCCCCTGAGCCCCCCGGGCCTGCTTCAGTTTTCCTTCGCATTTAAACAGGGCCAGCACGCCCCCGCTCCTCATTCCCTCCGATTCAAGGGGTCCCATCCCACCCCTCTTTGTGGTCTCTTTTCGCCAGCTCCCCGCCTGCCGCCATGCTGCCCCTGCGCCTATGCCGGCTGTGGCCCCTCAACCCTCACTTTTGGTTCTTCGCAGCGGCCGCCCGGCAGCGGTGAGTCGGGCCCCCGGGATCAGGCCCGGTTGTTCAGTAGGTTCTTGTTGCTGGCTTGCCCAATTCTAGGCGCTGGGCTAGGTGCTGGGATAGCTCTGTGTCAGGCGCCTTACAGATTTGTCGGGTTACTCTCACCTTCACTGCTGAAGACACAGTATCAGAGATTAAGGGATAACCCCTAAGGTCATATAGATCTGAAATTTGAACCCAAGTTAAACCTAGTGCCCTTCCTACAACTCAGGTGGTTGTTAAGCACTATTGTGCATAACACAGGCGGGGACCCTGAGTCTTAACCACTGGACGGCCAGGGAAGTCCCAAGAATTTATTTTAAAAAACATGATCAAAACAAAAAACAAAATATAATTTTCAGGTGTTTCTGATGCAAGGAATTTGAAAACTACACTTGGAGACATTTTGATCTGCCCCATTCCTGGAACACTCAAATAGGGAGGGATGATTTACAGAGACTATCCTTGGTATCTGCCTCAACCCTGAGCACCAGGATGCTGAGTCAAAGGGTGGCCCAAGTGGGTAGGGAAGGGGTATCCTGTGTCTTCCTTAGCCCTGGCAGGATTGGGCCTTTCTCCACAGGTCTGGCCCCAGTAACTACTACGAACTCTTGGGGGTGCAGCCTGGTGCCAGTGCTGAAGAAGTTAAACGAGCTTTCTTCTCCAAGTCCAAAGAGGTACCCGTGGTTTTAAGTGGAGAGGGGGAAGGGAAGTCTGAATCAGATGGGGTATGCTTCAAATTCTCAGAAATGGAGCTGAGAAGCTCACTTTGGCTGGTGCATATTCCCTCAGCATTCACAGGGAGGGGGAGGTGCCCCACAGGGAGAGATCTGCCCAGTGGGAGGAAAGGCTGGGGGGCAGGAGCCAGGAGGCCTGTCTGATGGGCTGGGCTTGGTTCTCTTGGCCTGCCTGCTCTTGAGAAAGCTGGATCCAGGACTTCCAGTGAGAGCCAGGCAGCAGGTGGGAAGCACTTACACAAGGGGAGGAGGCAGAAGCCTGTGCTTCCTGACTCTGTGGTGTTTTACAGGGATGGGCAGGCCTGGGCCTCTGGGAATGGCATGAGCCCTTGGGGGTGGACATTATCAGGATGGGTCCCGGGAAGGGGCATGGAAAGGGAGATGAGGGGAGTCTTGCTCCACCCCAGCTGCACCCTGACCGGGACCCCGGGAACCCAGCCCTGCACAGTCGCTTTGTGGAGCTGAGTGAAGCATACCAAGTGCTGAGCCGTGAGCAGAGCCGCCGCAGCTATGACCACCAGCTCCGCTCGGCAGCCTCCCCAAAGTCCCCAGGAACCACAGCCCACCCCAGGTCTGCTCACCAGGCTTACAGGTACAGTGGTCTAGCCCCCAGCTCACCACCCCCAAGTGTTGAGCCCTTTGGCATGGACATTATCAGGATGGGTCCCAGGAAGAGGCACGAACAGGGAGATGAGGGGATTGGAGGGGTGAGGCGAGGCTGGGGAGCAGAAGCCAGGAGGCCTGTCTGGATGGACTCATCCTTACACTGTTCCTTCTTCTTCCTCCAAGCAGTTCTAGGGCACCCCCCAATGAACAATACTGGGCCCAGTTTCATAAAGTGAGGCCTCAGGGACCAGAGTCCAGGCAGCAGCAGCACAAACACAACCGGCGAGTGCTGGGGTACTGCCTCCTGATCATGCTGGCCGGCATGGGCCTGCACTACGTGGCCTTCAGGTGTGTGCCTCCCTAGGGCGATGGGCAGGGGGCAGAAAGGTTTGCGAAGCTCAATGTCAGCCACCTAACCACACCACCCCTGTGACCTGCACCTTTGTGTCTCCCAAGCTAAGAACGGCATGAAATAGGTCTCTTCCAGAGCCCCTTCTGACTTGGCAAAGGCAGCTGTGCACTAAGAGCTCATGTCATTTCAGTTTTTTTTCATTGGAATTTAAATCTTTGGTGCTGATCGCCAGAGTGCTAGAGCAAACCAGAAAGCCTGCACAAGAAGGAAATGGGTTGAGCTGGGCCTTACCAGCAACTGCCCTCATTCATTCCTGCCACCCTATCACACATGCCATGCCACTGAGCTTCAACAGTAGAGACACCTAAAGGCTGGTGCCCACTGCTAGCAGTGTGCCTAGTTCAGTGATCAAGTTAGAACAAACCTTTCTAGTCTCCTTCAAGGACTTCTCTGATGCTCAGAGCTGCTGTCATGACCATCAGGGACCTGGGTCGCCATGAGACCCTGGACAAGTCCCGACCACTCTGTGCCCGTCTCCTCACCTAGCACGGGCAGTTCGGCTGAGGTCCCCACAGGTGTAAAGCTGTGAGAGCCTGGAGTGGAGGGGAGGGGACTGAGACTTGGGGGACAGCAGAGATTGGGGGTCCCAGTGTTCTTTGTAACCCCTTTGCAGGAAGCTGGAGCAGTTGCATCGTAGCTTCATGGATGAGAAGGATCGGATCATCACAGCCATCTATAACGACACTCGGGCCCGGGCCAGGTCTGTCCCAGCTCTTTCCTGCCTCCCTTCCCTGTGCCAGCACCACCCCCCAGGATCCTAGTCCCGACCACTCAGATGCTCTCCCTGCAGGGCCAACAGAGCCAGGCTCCTGCAGGAGCAGCGGCAGAAGCAGCAGCTGCAGCCACCACCCGGGCCACCCCAAGGCCCCGGGGTCGTGCCCCCGGGCCCCTGAGCAGCTCACCTTGGAGAGCTCACCTCGGATGGGGCCTTCGGGGTGCCCCCTTCTGGGACGCCCCACGACCCAGAACGCGTGCAATAAAGTGATTCTCAGAGCTCTCGTCTGGCTCCCTCCTACAGGCCCAGCGCCCCCCGCCCCGGCCCCGCCCTCCGGGTTTTGGTGCCGGCAACCCTGGAGCCCGGCCCCCTGGGCGGTGCGTCCCCTTTCCCCTGCAGCGACGGGAGGGACGCGCCGCCCGGCTAGGGCGATGCGGGCGCCCCCGGCGCGCGGCCCCCGCGGGCACCATGAGCCCCCTGCTCCGCCGCCTGCTGCTCGCCCTGCTCCTGCAGCTGGCCCCCGCCCAGGTACGTGCGTCCGCGACATCCCGCCCGCGCGCCGTGCCCTCTCTCAAGGTTGGCGGAAGTGGGAAGGCGCGGGGTTCTTGGGGGTCCACGGGGGCGTCTCGGGAGCCCAGCCCAGGCATCCCCCGGGAGGAGTCCCTCCTCGCCTGCCCGCCCGACTCCGGGGCCACTCCCCCGCCCCACCCCGTCCCCTGGGCGCAGCCGGGGGCGGGGCCGCCTCGGTGACTGCCGGACGCAGTTCGGCGCCCACTGTGCCCCTTCCTGATCTGGGTCCTGGAGAATTAGCCCGGACCCCAGGCTTGGAGATTCGAGGCTGCTGCCAGAGCGGGCCTGGCGGGTAGTAGCCGGGGCAGGTCCCAGGTGGCCTGGAGAGAACAGGTAAAGCTAGAGTGACCCAGGGGGGAATTTAAGCCTCCTGACTGCAAGGGCAGAGCCCTGGAGAGAAAGACATTGCCAGCCCTTCCTGGAGTGCAACTTGGGTCCAGCTTTCTTCTCTCCTACAGGCCCCCGTCTCCCAGCCTGATGCCCCTGGTCACCAGAAGAAAGGTAATAGTAACAGAACTTTGCACCAGCCGGCGCTCAGAACATTTGCTTCCAGCCCTGATTGCAGACTCCATGTATTTCTCATCTTGTGTAATCACAGCCTCTCTGTAAGATGCAAACTCTTAATTCTGCCCATTTCACAGAAGAGCAGATAGAGGCAGTGGGATGCCTGGTATCTGGATGAACAGGGCAAGGAAGATAGATTGGGTGGGCAGAAATGGGGGCTAGTGGAGGATGGCTATGATGGGGGAACTAAGAACAGCTTCTGGACGCAGGGGTAGAGGAACCAGGGGGCAGCTGCAGGAAACCCTGGGGGGACTTAACCCTAACGCATCTACCCCCAGTAGTGTCATGGATAGACGTGTATGCTCGTGCCACCTGCCAGCCGCGGGAGGTGGTAGTGCCCCTGAACATGGAGCTCGTGGGCACTGTGGCCAAGCAGCTGGTGCCCAGCTGCGTGACGGTGCAGCGTTGTGGCGGCTGCTGCCCTGACGACGGCCTGGAGTGCGTGCCCACTGGGCAGCACCAAGTCCGAATGCAGGTAGGGGTCAGGGGGTGTGCCTGGCTGGACGCTGGGGACTGAGGGGGTGGTGGCCAGAGCCCTGGGCGGGGGGCGAGGTGTTCTCACCCCTCCAGCCCTGGAGCGTCCCCTTCCCATCTCTCTCACTGTGTCTCTCCCTATTCTCCTGAGCCCAGATCCTCATGATCCGGTACCCAAGCAGTCAGCTGGGGGAGATGTCCCTGGAAGAACACAGCCAGTGTGAATGCAGGTGCCAGCGAGGCCCCGCCTCGGAGTTTGCAGAGATCAGGCTTGGGGGGTGCTGGGTGTGGCGGTACACCGCAGCGGGGACAAGGTTTCCAAGGGTAGAGCCGGGCAGGCCTGGGATCGAGGGCAAGAGCGGAGAATGCTTGACTTCCTGATCCTCTCTGTCCTTGTCTCTGTTCGTCTCTCTTACTTTTCAGACCAAAAAAACGAGAGAGTGCTGTGAAGCCAGACAGGTGAGTCTTGGGCTCTTGCTGGGGTGGGGTTGCAGCCCAGGCCCAGTGCCCAGAAAGTCACGTGTGGCTGGGGCAGGGGGTGTTAGGGCGTGTCAGGAAGCTGTGGTCCCCTCCCTTCCTTCTCCTCTCCTGCCTGTCCCCCCTCCTCTTTTTCTCTGCTCTCCAAGACTCTGTACTCTTCCCTGACCCCAGCCCCTGGGAAGACTTCCTTCCCACCCGAGACATGTTGCTTCTCCTCCTAGGGCTTCCACTCCCCACCACCGTCCCCAGCCCCGCTCTGTTCCGGGCTGGGACCCTGCCCCTGGAGCACCCTCCCCAGCTGACATCACCCATCCCACTCCAGCCCCAGGCCCCTCTGCCCACGCTGCCCCCAGCGCCGCCAGCGCCCTGACCCCCGGACCTGCCACTGCCGCTGCCGACGCCGCAGCTTCCTCCGTTGTCAAGGGCGGGGCTTAGAGCTTAACCCAGACACCTGCAGGTGAGGAGTCGGGTGGCGGCCAGGCCCATCCTGGAGCAGGTGGGAGAAGAGCCAGGGAAAGGGAAGCTTTGACCGGGTTGAATAAATATTGACCCAGCACCTAGTTGGCACTGGGGTCAGCAAAAACAAGGCTCGTGTTCTAATGCGGGAGTCAGACACATGATGTCAGCAGAGGATGTTGGGCTGTGGTGAGCGGTACCTGACTTTGTCTTATCGTCTTTGAGAGGACATCTCTAGATGTCCTGGAAGAGGTGACATGGCCAGGAGTGGCAATGGAAAGACAGGCTTCCAATTTGTAAAGCTCTGAACTGTCTCAGAAATGTCAATGGTAGACATTGATGTTCTACCTTACGGGCTCTGGGAGGCCAGGAGATGTAGTGGAACCCTGGTCCACCCTCATCTTGTTCTCACCACCCCTCCCTTCCACAGCGGGGTCATGGGGTGGCCTTGTGTGGGTCGGGTCAGCTGGGGCTTCCCAGGAGTGTTAGAGGAGAATGGGGTTCACAGAAGTTAACAAGCGGGTGCATCTAGAGAAACAGGGGCTCAGCTTTGGTGCCAGTGTGAACAGACCCCTTCTTCCCTTCTCAGGTGCCGGAAGCTGCGAAGGTGACAAACTGCTTTTCAGACTCAGTGGGGCCCCTAGCCTCACAGCCCTTCCCCCCAGGGGGGCAGGAGGGCAGCCTGGTGAGAACCGTCCAGTCCCCAAGACCTCAGCCTGGGCAGAAGCTCCTCCGGGACCTGGGCCTCTCGGAGGGCCTTCCAGCTGCCCCTTGTCTCTCCAAGGCTGCCGTCCAACAAGGTGGACAGAGTTGGACGAGGAGACCTGGAGGCAGCAAGAGGGGTCACGTGCCAACCTGCAAGAGAATGGGGTCCCGACTCAGCTTTTAACCACCTTGTACAAGTGAGCATCTAACAGCTGGCTCCTCTGTCCCCTCACTAAGAAGACCCCGATCCTCTACAAAAATGTGGGAGTTGGGCTTCAGCGCAGGAACTGTGAACCCCAGTCCTGATAAAAAAAGATGGAAGGAACTGTCCCTGCCTCTGTCACTGTCTGTCAGTGTCCAGGCTGGCTGGTTTGGACATGAACGTCTGCGTTGTACTGCCTCCTAGACATGGAGCTTGAAGGAGATGAGGTCCAAAGACCCCTCCCCCCCAACACACACAACAGGTCACAGTGCCAGAATCGTGCATCCTTCACTTTCATGTTGCGCTAACGGGTCCTGCCCCTGTGTCCATCACAAGGGTTCCTTTCTGGAAGGAGATGGCCAGTGAGCTTGAGGTGGGACTCAGCTCTGCCGAATGCCCTCGGCTGTCACTGCCCCTCTTTCTGAGCCTCGTGTGTACACACAGAGGGAGCAGATGATCACTGTGGTCTGGGCCCGTGGGTGCCAAGAAAGTTAAGAGTCATGTAACAGAAAAGAACACTCATCTTCCCTGCCAGGTTACACTCTGTGGTTGCAACTTCTGCTTCATGGAGCTTAACTCTCTTTTTTCAATTGCAGTCTTCACTGTCACCTCCCTTGCACCTTGAGTTCCCCTCCCCATGCTTTGCTTGGTACTCTCCTGACCTTTATCTGACCCAGCCCAAACTCAGTGGTCAGCTTTCTGCCTGCACTCTCTAGTGCCCCTGGGGCTCAGTTGTGAGGGGAGGGGGTGAACTGAAAGGCAACCTTGGGCACCAGTACTTTGCCCCATCAAGGCAGAACATTGAGGGCAGAGTAACCCAAAGCAGCTACCTAATGGAGGCCTCTGAAGTCATTGAGGAAGGGGTAGTGATCTTGTTAGGCCCAAACCAAGAGTGGTGTTAAACCAGAAGAGATGGTTTCTGACAAGTGACTGCTACTTTGAAATCATTTTCTCAGCTATGCTGTTACCAAAAATGTGAGAGTTCAATTAGAGTGAGACACATGAGGGTTAGGGCCATTAGCTACTACCTCCTAAACCCATCTAGCTTGTCCAATGAGCATGTGCTTCGTATGCGCCTTCTCACCTAACCCTCAATTCTGAGGTCAGTGTTGTGATTATCTTCCTTCTTCAGTTGAGGAGATAAGCTCGGAAAGGCTGATTGACCTGAGGATTTGGCCTCAGATCATCCATCTCCCTAACATTCAACTTAGGTTTAGCTGCCTCTCAATTGCAGGTTGTCTGCCTGCAATGTGGGAGACCTCCTGGGTTCAATCCCTGGGTTGGGAAGATCCCCTGGAGGGCATGGCAACCCACTCCAGTGTTCTTGCCTAGAGAATCCCCATGGACAGAGAAGTCTGGCGGGCTGCAGTCCATGAGGTCACAAAAGAGTCGGACAGGACTGAGCATCTAAGCACAACTGCAGGTTCATTACTTCAGTGGAACCTCCCAGGTGTATCAGTGATAAAGAATCCACCTGCCAATGCAGGAGATGCAGGTTTGATCCCCTGAAGTAGGAAATGGCAACTCACTCCGATATTCTTGCTGGGAAATCCCAAGGACAGAGGAGCCTGGTGGGCTACAGTCCATGGGGTCACAAAGAGTCGGACGCGACTGAGCGCACACATGTTTATCCCTGGGTGCTGAAGCGACTAGAAATAAGTCTGCATGGGGAATGGACCCAGTCAGACGGTTACAGTCATGACTCAGGGTCATTATGCCCCAGGTAGAGGCAGGCGTGGATGCTGGAAGAGAAAAAAGCTAAGAGCATTTGCTGTGGGCCTAGCTGTGCACATTACTGGGGGACTCCAACAGGGACCCTGTGGGGTGGATGTTATCAAGCCCGAGTCAGCAGGCCAAGAAACTTGTTCAAGGTCACCCAGTCAATGAGTGGCAGACCCAGGATTCAAACCCAAGGCTCACTCTGAAGCTAGGCTCTTTCCACAGCAACTGAGGACTGTGGATCAGAAGAGGCCCAAGGGCAATCAAGAGCGTCAAGCTGGGGGCGACATAAAATGGCGTCTCAAGACCCCCTCCGGGAACCCACGCCCGCCTGACCTTAACTTCACCTCAAACGGAAGTGCCTTCAGCCCTTTCGGAAGTCACTTTCACCTCACCTTAAGGACTACAAAGCCACCGGACGTGACGTATGGGTCACATGGCGCCCCGGGGGCGGGGCTAGGGAAGAAACATCCCCAGCGGGCGTGTGGCCGCGGGTTTTGCATGGTCCAATGAGGGCGGGCGGCGTGGCCAGGGCTGGTGGCGACGATGATGCGCCTGCGCACAGACGGCGGCACGACTGGGTTGACTCCGGGGGCGCGGCGAGGAGGTGAGCGGGGGCCACAGCCCGGGCTGGGGGGAGCCGGGGTAAACGAGGGAAGGCTGGATCAGGCAGGGCAGGAGCGGGCTGGGGCTCCGAGTGTCAACGAGGGATAGGTCACGAGGAAATTGACTGTTGGGGGGGTCCGAGCTGTCCGGGGATGCCGCAGGGGGAGGGTTCTCACGCCTCACGGGGCGGGGCTCCGGGAGTTGGGGCGGGAAGTCGAACGGCGACGGGTGGAACCTCTCAGCTGGTGCCGGTGGGAGGCGGAGCTCGCGACCTGGGGGCGGGGCTAGGACCTTTGGTGGGTGGAGACTGGCCCTTGGAGGAGGAGCTGGAAGAGGCGGAAGGAGGAGCCTCGGGTTTGGAGGCCGAGGAGGAAGGAACCCAGGCGCTGGGGGCGGGGCTTCAGCCGGTGAGTGGCGCGGCTACGGTCCAGGAAGAGGGGTCTAGTTCTGTCGGGGGCGGGGCTACAGGGTTGGGGGCGGAACCACGCCCTCTAAAAGGTGGGACCAAGGAGCCTAGCGAAGGGGTAGGCCCAGGTAATGACCCGGGGCGTCCACGCGGGGGCGGTCTCCGCGGTGGCCGTGCCTGGGGACGCGGTAGGCCTAGAACTCCCCCGGGAGAGGTGGTATGGGTGGAGCGGGCTCGGCGGCCACCCGACACGGGACCAGTCTGGGTGCCCCGCAGGCCCCCGAGGGCTCAGAGTTGGGGCGGCGCCTCGGGCGGAGGCACAGGGCCAGCTTGGGGGGTACCCCCGGAGGACAAGGGCTCCCCGGAGCCACCCAGTGGCGACGTGTGGGTGCCTCGGGGCCGACCCCCTGCGGCAGCCGCAGATGTGTGGGTGTGTTGGGCGGGAGGCAACTGGGTGTGGCGTGAATGGGGTCGCCCGGTCGGGGCAACCGCTCTGCAGCCAGATAGGGTCTGGACTTTGCGGAAGGGGACGGGTGGGAATTGAAGAGAAGAGCTGGGGACTGGGAGGGACGGAAGGGCAGGGGGTGAGCAAAGGGGCGGGACCCTGGCTGCTGTGGCCTCCCCTGACCCCCTCTCCCCGCTGCTGGGGTCCTCGGGCAAGCCCCCTTCTCACTGGACTGGTAAGTGTGGCCGTGGAGCCTGGGGGAGGGGGCGGTGATCCCGAACAAGGGGATCCCCAGGGGCAGGCAGGGTCCACGGTGGGGTGGAATCCTCCCGGTACCTGCCGGTATTCCATGCCCTCCCGTTCCTCTCCCCCGGTTGGTTGGTCGGGGTCTGTTCCCACAGAGAGATGAGGCTGAGCTGGGTCTTGACAGTACTGTCCATCTGCCTGAGCGCCCTGGTCACGGCCACAGGGGCCGAGGGCAAACGGAAGCTGCAGATTGGAGTCAAGAAAAGGGTAGACCACTGTCCCATCAAATCTCGGAAAGGGGACGTCCTGCACATGCACTATACGGTGGGTGAAGGGGTGGAGCTTTGGGGGGCGGGGCCTTTGGGGACCAGAAAGGAACCGGGAGCCGGGTTTCTCTGCCAAAAGTGGGATCTCTTGGGCAAGTCTTCTCATCTACTATGCATGGTTCTGTCTTGCTTTTCACTGTCTATTCCCAGGTTGGTATCAGCAAGCAGTGACAGTGTACTGTGAGCTGCCCAACGTTCTGTCTCCTGCTATGACTATGGCCACTAATGCTGTGGGGGGGTGGCACCTTGATGGGAAGAGCACTGGGGGTGGGGGTGTCAGAGCAGACCCTCCTCCTCACTGGCCTTCCCATGGTCTCACAGGGGAAGCTAGAAGATGGANAAAAAAAAACAAAATTTAATACAAATCAATCTCTACAAAATTCAAATTCCTTAATTTTAGATACAAAATCCTTCATAATCTGAGTGCCCTTTCTCCGTAATCCTTTTGCCAATATCTCATGGAATCAACATACCTACCAACCGTTCATCATCTAGAAACTACTTTCTGAGTCTGGTGTATTTCCATATTCTCCTTTATTTTGCAGTGGTATTGTGTAAATCTAGACAGGTAAGTTTATCCTATGTTTGTTAGCACATAATGATGAAATTGTAATTAGGGCAAACGGAAGCTGCAGATTGGAGTCAAGAAAAGGGTAGACCACTGTCCCATCAAATCTCGGAAAGGGGACGTCCTGCACATGCACTATACGGTGGGTGAAGGGGTGGAGCTTTGGGGGGCGGGGCCTTTGGGGACCAGAAAGGAACCGGGAGCCGGGTTTCTCTGCCAAAAGTGGGATCTCTTGGGCAAGTCTTCTCATCTACTATGCATGGTTCTGTCTTGCTTTTCACTGTCTATTCCCAGGTTGGTATCAGCAAGCAGTGACAGTGTACTGTGAGCTGCCCAACGTTCTGTCTCCTGCTATGACTATGGCCACTAATGCTGTGGGGGGGTGGCACCTTGATGGGAAGAGCACTGGGGGTGGGGGTGTCAGAGCAGACCCTCCTCCTCACTGGCCTTCCCATGGTCTCACAGGGGAAGCTAGAAGATGGAACAGAGTTTGACAGCAGCCTGCCCCAGAACCAGCCCTTTGTCTTCTCCTTGGGCACAGGCCAGGTCATCAAGGGCTGGGACCAGGGGCTGCTAGGGTGAGTCGTGGGACCATGGCTGTGGTCCAGGAGGTAATCTGGGAGGCAAGGCCCAGGGATGGGGGGAGGGAGCAAGGAGCCTGGTTGTTGCCACATGCTGAACATGTGTTGTCCTGCAGGATGTGTGAGGGAGAAAAGCGGAAGCTGGTGATTCCATCAGAGCTGGGTAAGAGGCTCTTTCGGAGTGGGGATAGGGAGTTCAGGGTGTATTATCCCTGTAAGGGTGAAGGCTGATTTAGTCTCTGCATCGATCTCCACTCAGTTCATTCAGTCCATGCCACTTCCAAGTCTAGCCTTGTCCAGCAATGAGGACAGGGCAAGACCATTGGGACACTTGGCTCTAGTGCCAACTCTCTGACCTTTTGCAAGCCCCTCCCATCTCCCTTGTGACTCAAATGGTAAAGAAGATGCCTACAATGCAGGAGATCCAGGTTCAGTCCCTGGGTTGGGAAGATCCCCTGGAGAAGGAATTGGCAACCCTCTCCAGTATTCTTGCCTGGAGAATTCCATGGACAGAGGAGACTGGCAGGGTGTAGTTCATGGGATCGCAAAGAGTTGGACATGACTGAGTGACTAACTTTCCCTTGTTTTTTTTTTCCCCCGTTTCCCATTTCTGGCGTAGTGCTAGGATGGGTAGAGGCTTGGCTTCAGCCTGGTTGTCTGCGAACACCTCACTCTGCCTGGCCACAGCTCATTCTGTTTGTGTTATCTTTGCAGGGTATGGAGAGCGGGGAGCTCCCCCAAAGATTCCAGGTAATAGACCTTTGTGTCCCCCTCCCCATCTACTGCATCCATTCCATCTCCTGGTGGCCCTAGTTCTCATTCTACTCCCACCTCTCCCCTGCAGGTGGTGCAACCTTGGTGTTCGAGGTGGAGCTGCTCAAAATCGAGCGACGTTCAGAACTGTAGCCAAACTGGAGAGGGGCAGTGGAGAGGCCCTCATCAGGGACCAGACTGTTTAAAGAAAAAAAAAAAAACCCTTAAAACCCATGAAGTGAGCCTGTGTTTCTCTGTGGGCCCTGAGAGACTTAGAAACCACAGGTTCAGCCTCCTCTCTCCCTCGACCTCCTCCTGTCCCTCCTTCTCCCTCTGGGCTGCAGAACCTTGGGATCTAGAAGGCTCAGTGGCATCGAGGTCACGATGGCCAAGCCCTGAGTGGCATGGTGGCCCTTGTCCAGAGGGGAAAAGAGTATTCCTGCCTGCCGGCAGCAGCATGGCTCCTCCCCAGCTCCCCAGCCACTTCCAGCTCCTAGTCTGGGAGCCAGCACTGGGCTATCGCTATGGCTACGTGGCCCTCAGGAAGGCCTGCGGTCACCTGGGGAGAAGCTGAGCTGGCAGCAGTCAGAGAGCAGTGTGTCCCCCCAAAAGAGACCAGGCAAGCCTGTGAACTGCACCAAAGGCGTATCCTAGCTTTATTAAAGGGCCCGCGCTGCAGTCAATATAAAAACACAAAAAGTCCCATCAGTTTAATAATAATAAAAAACCCCAAAAATGGAAAACTGAGGGGGCAGGGAAGAGGCCCCTGGGCCAGGGGCACGGGGAGCCCTGCTCGTGGCACCAGGCCTGGCCGCAGGGCCCCCTGGTATTGCTGTTGCTACGAGGTCAGGGGGCAGCGATTGTCCTGTGGAGCCACCATTCAGCTGGGTCGAGGACCCTTACTTCTTCTGGGGTGTGCTCAGCTTCTGCATGCCCCGGATCTTGTCCAGCAGGCCAGAGATGAAGGCCTGGAGGGAGGGAGGACATTAAGGAGGCCAGACCCCATGAGGACAGGACCCCAGGCTCCTCACCCCACCCCTGGGGAAACCACTTCCTTACCTCAGTGGGTTTGTAACAGTCAACCAGCAGCTCCTGGTGGGGCAAGGAGGGGAAGGGTAACTGAGTCTACAGAACACGGACCTAGAGTTCACCCGTACCCTCTTCCAAGGCACTGGACATGCTACTGAACAGCTCGGCAAGTAACTACTGGCCCCCTTTGGTGGACGCCAAAGCTGAGCCCAAGATCACAGAGCTGACTGCCGCAGATCAAGGCAGGCCTGGCTCCAGAGGCTTGCCGACCCAACGACGGGCAGACCGCCCCCAGCTGCCCTCTAGCCCCTGCTCCCCTGACCTGGCCCTGCTGCCCTCCAGCCCCTCTTACCTTGACCCTGGCAGCCCGGGTATCATCGCTCTCCATGTCCAGGAGTTCATCCACGTCGATTTCCAGCTCTGGGATCTCCTCTTCCTGGCAGTCGTAGAGGCGAGTGAGCTGCTCCAGGATCCACTCCTCCAGGTTGAGGCGCTTCCGTAGCTCCTTGCGGTCGTACTTGACCGTGACCTTCCCTTGGCGCCTCACTGGGCCCTCGTCATCCGCGCCGCCCGGGCCCTCGCCTGCAGCCCCAGGGGGGCTCTGAAAGTAGACGCGGGNCTGTGAGAGGTTTTGTTTTCCTTCCTCTCTATACATTTCCAAGTTTTCAATGATAAATTCAGTATTTTCAAGATAAAAATAAATTTTCTTTTGAATGATTTTTTAATTAGCTGAAAATTTATGCTTTAAAAAGATGATTGCTAGTACAAATGTAGACCCCAACAAGCACTTCAAGTATGATAAACCAGACAGTGAACCATTAAGTCGGACTTGAGAAGCCTGTCCTCTTTGAAACCTGAAGAGAAAAATGAGGCAGCAAAGTCTCTTTTATGCTTTTAAATTTGACTTGTAAGTTTCTTTTATATATTTTCTGAATCAGAACCTAGTACCCATGGACATACAAGTACTCGAAGAGAACAAAAATAGACTACAGTTGACCCTGGAACAACATGGGTGATTAGAGGTGCCAACTCTGCACAATGGAAATCTCCCATTTCCTCCATTTCTGTGCTGTCTCTGCATCCACAGTTCCACATCCATGGATCCAAACACTTATGAATCCTGTTTACTGTAATATTTACTGTTTTTTAAAAATCCACATATAAGTGGACCTGCACAGTTCAAACCCATGTTGTTCAACAATCAACTGTATTTGAAATTCAGGCAACTCCAGAGAAATTCACCCATAAAGTGAGCACTCTTCCATAGTTCCCTCAGTCTGTGCAAACTTCAGTACCATAGCCTATAAGGCCTTTCATAAGCTAAGATAATTGTGACCAGATTTATATTTTCAATTATATACTATCCATGTCTCTCTTAAAGGAACGGTTGAAAAGAATTGTCTCTTGAGTCCCTTTGCTGTTCACCTAAACTACCACACCATTTTTAATTGGCTATACTCCAAAAAAAAATACAAAATAAAAAGTTTAAAGTTGAAACAAAACAGTTGTTTCTATAAGAACTAGACATGGCAGAAAATGAATTTTAAAAACACAGAAAGACCTAGATTGTAATCTTGGTTCTATCACTCATTGTGAGACTTGGAGCAAATCACTTAAAATTTTTGGACCTGACCACCTCTCTTCAATACCCCTATACAACTCTAAGTTTAGAATCCTGCCATCCAGAAAACTGTGATTAACCTGAGAGCCCAATTCAATGTCTAGGGTTATGCTTATTATATTTAGTCTGTGCTCGAGAACATTTGAAATAATTGGTATGTCAGCCAGCAAGCCCTTTCTGGAATCTTGAAAACTATTAACCATGTCTATAATTCTCTTTTCAGACAAAAGTCTGCAGTGTAAGAAAACGCCCAGATTTTACTGCCACTGGCCAGTGGGAGGTAGTCACTCTGCGCGAAGGGAAGCAAGAGTCAGCCATCTTTGATGCTGTCATGGTCTGCACTGGTTATCTTACTAATCCGTATTTACCACTGGACTCCTTTCCAGGTATAGCCCTTTCTACAACTGACCTTAATTTGTCTTATGTGAGCCACCCTGATACTGGATTGTTCTGGAAATAAATTCCTATTGATTTCCTCCATTAAATAGTTAAAATAGTGAGGTAAGAGGGTTTTTTCCCCTGACAAGCGCTATTTGGCCAGATTCTGGCTTTCATCAGTTTCAAACAAGGTTTGAGTACCAAAGAGTAGAATGAATAACTGTGAAGCAGTTTCATGCTTCACTGAAGTTCAGTGTCCATCTCTAAGTGACTGGCAGCACCAGAAAAACTTCTAAGACACGGGAGGCCTAGACAGTTTACTAGACACAGCAGTAGTGCATTAACAAAGGTGAGAGGAGAGGTCACAAGCGTCAATCTGTGAATAAAGGAAAAAATAACTTGATTTTTGTTTGCTTGTGTCTATGGGTCACGGCAGTTACCCAGATCAAAGGTTTACGGCACTGGGTAATAGTCACCAGGGGCAGGAGTCTTGGGAGACAAATTAAGACATCTTTGGGCCTCAGTTTCTTCATCTGGTTTTGCAACCATGATTCATTTATGTCAAACTTCAATTGGATTACAACTCAGAGGGAATAGAAAATCCAGTGGCTTGGTTTATTTAATCTGCAGCAAAGGATTCAAAAGGTTCAAACTTTAGCAAATTTTTCTCTGAATCATCTAAATATGACTTGTAGTGAGCACAAGGCTCAGTTCACAATTAACTCATCTACCTCCAATGATACTTGGTCTGCTCCCAGCAGTTACTGAACACTGGCCACGTTAAGATAAAACACACCCTGAAAACTGTCATAGACTATAATCATTGAATTGGAACGCAGCTCAGCCTTCTTCCTGGTACAGGACACTCTTCAGCATCCCTGAGAAAGACTCAACAGCCTCTGCTTGAATGCATTCAACTATGAATTCTTTCCACTTCACCCATTTCTTGCCTACAGAGAAAAGCCCTGAGTAGGCAAGTTACTCCAACTCCCAGTAGGAGTGCCTGGTACAGGATCACTCCAAGAATCCAGAAAATTTCATGACATAGAGAGTACACTGTGTTTATTGCTAAGAATACAGAAGTGGATGAGACAACACATAGCCTGCGTGAAAGGAATGAAATGAGTTTTATAGGGGTCCAGTGGGGTAATCCCAGTCTACATATGACCTGTAGTGACAGCAATACTCACTTTACAACAAATTCATGTACTTGAAATGGTCCTGGACCTGCCCTGCAGATGTTACTCAAGTCAGGTCAGATTAGGATAAAGCATAGCTTGAAAGCAATGGAGCCAATGTGTTCAGTTTAAATAAGATGAGCTTGGGACCCAAGAGGTATAGATTCCCAGTTATACAATTAAGAAGCTATGATCCTTTTGTAGTTCATGGGCATGATGATTGGGTGTTCACGTTGTTGCATGACATGTGCTCCCTCCTAAACCTTGTTAGGACACCAGCACATTACCCATCAGATGTTAAAAAAAGAAAGAAAAAAGCTATATAATCTTGGGCTTTACACTTAACCTTTCTAAGCCTCTGTTTTCCTTCCTAGAAACTGAGGGGTTTTGACCTATCTTACCCAACATTATATATCACAAATCAAGCAAACAGAACTCTACAGTATTTGCCATCCTTCTCAATATCCAGATTACCAGCCACTACCAATTGGTTATTTCAAATTCATGGCTGAATTATTGTTAAGGAGCCTTTGAGCACTAAAATGTCATGACTTTAGACTTGAAATGGAGTCCTCCAAACCTCATCATCTCTCTCTCTGCCCCATAGCAGACTTACACACACCCTGGAGTAGCTGTTAATCATCACAAAAATTAAACTCATTTAAGTTATTCAAAAAACCATGTCATGAGTTCTGGAGGCAATTCGAGAAGAAAGTGTTCCAAAAAGTCTTAGTAAATATAATAGGTATTACAGTTGGAATAAATATATAACTTCCCAAAGTAACTTATTTTATTAATTCAGAAACCATATACATTCAGCTGTTTACTAACACAGCCACTTCACCTAACAAGAGTTCTTGCTCTGTTCTCCTGTAATATGAGTGGGGAAAGTATTAGTCTGATAGAAGACTCAAGCCACAGAGTCTCATACTTGTCCACTTGTGATCCAAAAAAGCCTGATCCAGAGAGAATCTAAGATAATCTAACATTCATAGATAATGCTATTATTCTCATTAAACTTGTCCAGCTCTCCATTCCTGGCAGTTCTCGGATCCACATTGGGTCAAATATTGAGCTAAGTCAATATTTGAATGTGATTGCATTGTTGCTAAACTCAATATGATCTAGACTGTGGCTGGGTTTTAACTGAGATTCATGTTAGATTTCTAAAGATTTAAGGTGAAATAAAGAGTTACTGGGTAATGTGCCACTAATGTGCCACATCATCCATATCCTGAAAATTCACTGAGAATCTAGATGTACTGGGATATTTTCTTTTAAAAAAAAAATGTTCTTTATACAGGATTGCTTTTGATCGTTTTATGCAACCTAAAAGTATTTTCCAAAACCCTCCACAAGCACTTGATGTTTCAGTGAGAGTTGGCATCAACCGAGATGTCTTATCTAATTCAAATAGCTCTGATCCCAGTATAACTAACATAACTCCTTTTTCTCTGAGCCAACTCTGGCTGACTCAGCAAACCTAGCCTGAGTTACCATCAGTCACCAAGGTGAACACATAAGGATGTTTCAAATTGGGACCATACTTTTATTTCCTTTTTTAAAAAATTTTGGTTGCACTGGGTCTTTGCTGTGGCACTCGAGCTTCTCTTGTTGCATCACACAGTCTTAGTAACCCTGCAGCATGTGGGATCTTAGTTCCCCAACCAGGGATGTGAACCTGCCTCCCCTGCATTGGAAGCCAGATTCTTAACCACTGGATCACCAGGAAAGTCCCATGTTTTTATGTCTTATTTCCCATATCATCTAGCACAGTGTCCGGCACATAAGAGGTGTCCAAAAAGTTTGCTGAATAGAGTGGAAGCACCGACTCAGAGTGCACTTAAACTTCTCTGCTCTTTCTCCTTGCTTATGAAAACTTCTAAATAATCAAACATTAGCAAATAGAGTATTTCTGTCCCATTCATTTCTATCAAATTTTAAAAAGTAATGACTTCTTATATTTTAGCTTAATAAGTCTTAATGCCATGCTGTTTATTTTTTCTTTCGTTCCTTCCTTTTTTTTTTTTTTTTTTTTTTTTTTTTTAGCAGAAAATGGTTTACTGCAGGGCAAAGCAAGGATGGGTGGCTCATGCTCAAAAACTTTGAAATCCCCAGTGGGTTGGGGAGGGGGGGGATTTTTTTACAGTGCCATGATATTTTAACTTAGTAATCATCTAGTAAGTAAAACTAGAGGTCCATCTAGTGAGATGGAGTATCTCCATTAAATAAATAATCACTCACCAATTTCTGTATCTTGCATAATTATGTATCCATGTTTCAGATTTTCTTAAAATTGAGTATGTTATTAAAACAACCTAAATCACCCATCAAAAGGATTTTATTAGCTGAATAATATCTCTGTTTCATTCACAGATCTTGTAAACTTTCTATCTGACTTCCTTTCTTTTCTATAGGTATAAATACTTTTAAAGGCCAGTATTTCCACAGCCGAGAGTATAAACATCCAGATATATTTAGGGACAAGAGCGTTCTTGTTATTGGAATGGGAAATTCTGGCACAGACATTGCTGTGGAGGCCAGCCACCTGGCAAAGAAGGTATGGTTCTTGGTGTTACCTAACGAGGAGCTTTATCTTCAGATGCATGCCTCAAGCAAACTGTCAGACACCATGATAGATGATGAAAGGAAAAAAGAATTCCTAAAACACACACACACAAACAGATTTTTTAGGTACTTTTTTCTTGAATGTTCATAAATGTTACTATAAATTCCAGGTGTCATATTGTGTCATTTTTCCTCAAAAATTTGGGTTCTTTGACTTCTTATTTTTGCTATTTTCCCAGGCAATATGAGTCACAGGAAGCATCTGTTTCTTACTCAGTCCCATTAGTCAGAAAATTCTGGCTAATTTTTTCTTACTAAGATCTCCCATTTGCTCCTTCCTTTCCTTATTGATTGCCACCATCCTCATCAGGTCCATACCACCTCACGTCGAATCTATTACACTTTCCTTCTCACAATTATGGGAAGTGTTACTATTACTGGGGCTTGCTTACTCTGTACCAAGAACAGTGCTAAAGGCTTTACTGCATGACCTCAGCCAATCATCAAAACAAGCCATGAAGTAGGTACAAGACTCCTTAACCATCAGTGAAGAAACTGAAACCTAGAGTTAAACAAGCTGCCTAAAAGCACACCACCAGCAGCTGGGAGAGCCAGTCCTCAAACCCAAGTCTCCTCCATTCAAAGCCCCTGCTCCTAACTCTACCTTAAGTACCTGTACTCCTGCCCCAGTCCAGCCCCCCACACACGACAATCCATCCAGACCCCCAACCACCAACAAACAAATCCTCTGAAAAGCCTGCTCTCCTTATCACACTCATGTTAAAAAACTAACAACTCCTCCCTAACTTAAAAAAAAAAAAAATCATTACAGGGCTCTCTATCACCTGGCCCAGATCTGCCATTTTAAATTTATCCTGCACTGGTTTCCCACATGATCATCAACTGAACGCTGACTGGTCTACTCTGTGACCTTTCCCACCCCCAAGCCTCAATCTTCCCCTTCACTCACACCATAGCCCTCCCTTCTGCAGTGCCCTTTTCTCTTTTACGACAACTTATATTTACATTCCCAGACAGCTCTACCCAACACAAACTCATCTCTCAGTATGAACTGATGTAATAATTGAAATTTACATTCCTCAGATGGCACTTAGAATTCTTGGTATGGTTCATTACCTTTTATGAGAATTCTCAGTTGGCGATAGAGGTAAAGAACCTGCCTGCCAAATGCAAAAGACTTATGAAATTCAGGTTCAATTCCTGAGTCGGGAAAATGCCCTGGAGGAGGGTATGGCAACGCACTCCAATATTCTTCCCTGGAGAATCGCCATGGATGGAGGAGTCTGGTGGGCTACAGTCCACAGGGCCACACAGAGTTGGACATGATTGAAGCAACTTAGCACGGCACAGCAATTACCTTTCATATATAGGCAAAATATATAGTATGTATTATTTATAGTATGTATTTTCTTTCCAACTATGCTATGAACTCACTGAAAACCATTCAGGTAACAAATCAATATTAGTTGCTGAATTCTGCTATCCCAAATGTTGTGCCAGGCATGGAGGATACACGGGAGAACAGAATAATCAAACAGGATTCCTGCTGTCATAGATGGTGTAGTCATGGGGAAAACAGATGTCATGTAAATAAGTGTAAATAATTAAATCAATAATTGCAAGAATGAAAATAGGCATGAGGAAAAAGAATTGGGAGTGTGTTCCTTTCTGGAACTTTAAGGAAGGAACTTGATAATTCATTGACTGATTTGGAGAGACTTAGCAATTTGGTAGAGTTATCCCAAAGGAAGGAAAAGGAGGTTCTGAAGCAGAAATCAGCACAGGCCCATTCACAATGACCAAAACATGTGAGTCATATATTACTACTTCTATTTCTCTAACCACTGGAAATTTCTTCCATCTGAAAACATGCTTTGGCACACACCATTTCTATATTGACAAGGAAACTCCCCTTGTTTCAGAATATAATTCATTTCTACCAAAATATCATAACTGATTCTTCATCATGACGAAGAAAGGCAGGTGCAAATATGTCTAATGTCAGAATTACTGATGTGCTTGAGGTTCTTGCCACCATAAGGCTCCATCATATTATGAGGCTTCCTTGGTAGCTCAGATGCTAAAGAATCTGCCTGCAATGCAGGAGATCCAGGTTCTATCTCTGGGTGGGGAAGATCCCCTGGAGAAGGGAATGGCTACCTACTCCAGTATTATAAGTTCAATCAAAATGTATCATAAAAGCACTAACACTGCAGCTAAGGCCACCATGCCCCAGTTTATTGGAAGAGAAAACAGGCATTAAGCCAGTTGTTTTGTATTTGCAAAGCAACAGATCGGTTGACTAAATTTTTCAATTTTAAAAAGTTATACAGACAACTCTTTGTTGTATAGGTTCCAAAGTAACTATTACCTTAATGAACTAGGTCAGCTGATAAACTCAAATAGTCAAATAATCTGTCTTTTAAAAATCCACCTAAACTAGTTGTATTACTGAATTTTACTATCAGTTCTAACAATGCTTTATGTTGAAACCCTTTGCAGATATCTTTTTTTTTCTTTTTTTTTTTTTCTTAGCTGCACTGCGCAGCATGTGGAATCTTAGTTCCCTGGATAAAACCTGTGCTTCCTGCATGGGTTGTTCCAGGAAGGCAGAGTCTCAACCACTGGACCACCAGGGAAGTCCCTTCAGACAACTTTCAGTTGCATCCTTGCCCAGCTCTTGTTTATAGTCACTAGCATACAAAGTTGTTATCACCTATTCACTATCTTCTCACATGAGATTCTAAGTTCCTATGGCCAACCACAATATATAATTCACCATGGTGTCTAGCACTGAACCTGGCAGATAAAAAGTGCTCAATAATATGTGCTAAGGCATTTTAATACTCTAAATACTCAAACCATTATCTCCAAAGAATAAAGTGGGAGTTAGAGAAGTCAAAACTATCTTGTCAGGGAGGTATTTTGGGGGTCGCTGGCTATTCGGTGCCTTTCAATGCATGAAAATAATCTCTGACAGAACCAGCCCTGTTCACTGTGTCAAACTGAGTGACCTCTTTGATTGCTTCTAGGTGTTCCTCAGCACCACTGGAGGGGCATGGGTGATCAGCCGTGTCTTTGACTCAGGGTACCCATGGGACATGGTTTTCAAGACACGATTTCAGAACACATTCAGAAATTCTCTTCCAACTCCAATTGGGAATTGGTTGATAGCGAAAAGGATGAACAGCTGGTTCAATCATGCAAATTACGGCTTAATACCAGAAGACAGGTAAATGCAGAGGGGCTGCAGAAGGCTATTAGGGAGAAGGGGCATTGGTCCTTCCAGCAGCCATAATACAGCAACAAGACTGAGTATGAAGGAAAACTTCCAATAAATTACTTAGTCATACTGGCTAACTGTTTTCAGTGCTTGGTAAGTAGAATTATGTGATAAATAACTGTCAACAACCCTTTAAAGTAAACCATATAACCTCCCTTTCAGAGTGGGTATACTAAGACTTAGGGAAATTCAGTCACTTGCCCAAGTTAATCCAGTACCAAGCAGACTCTGTGACCTTGGCAAGTTACATAAACCTTAGTTGCAGCAATAAAAAGAGAATAATTTGTCTATGACTTTTCCAACAAAAACAACACATTTGCCTATTTCACAGTGTGGGAAAAATTTAATCCTTCACCACCTTTCAAAGTACAGTGCCATTGAAATCATTCCAGTCATCTTTTCTGACCACAGTGCAGTAAGATTAGATGTCAATTACAGGAAAAACGCTGTTAAAAATTCAAACATATGGAGGCTAAATAACACACTTCTGAATAACCAACAAATCATAGAAGAAATCAAAAAAGAAATGAAAATATGCATAGAAATTAATGAAAATGAAAACACAACAACCCAAAACCTATGGGACACTGTAAAAGCAGTGCGAACGGAAGGTTCATAGCATTACACGCTTACCTCAAGAAAAAAGTACAAAGTCAAATAAATAACCTAACTCTACACCTAAAGCAATTAGAGAAGGAAGAAATGAAGAACCCCAGGATTAGTAGAAGGAAAGAAATCTTTAAAATTATGGAATAAATAAATGCAAAAGAAACTAAAGAGACCATAGCAAAAATCAACAAAGCTAAAAGTTGGTTTTTTGAAAAAATAAATAAAATTGACAAACCATTAGCAAGACTCATTAAGAAACAAAGGGAGAAGAACCAAATTAACAAAATTAGAAATGAAAATGGAGAGATCACAACAGAAAACACTGAAATACAAAGGATCATAAGAGACTACTACCAGCAGCTNAAAACATGTGAGTCATATATTACTACTTCTATTTCTCTAACCACTGGAAATTTCTTCCATCTGAAAACATGCTTTGGCACACACCATTTCTATATTGACAAGGAAACTCCCCTTGTTTCAGAATATAATTCATTTCTACCAAAATATCATAACTGATTCTTCATCATGACGAAGAAAGGCAGGTGCAAATATGTCTAATGTCAGAATTACTGATGTGCTTGAGGTTCTTGCCACCATAAGGCTCCATCATATTATGAGGCTTCCTTGGTAGCTCAGATGCTAAAGAATCTGCCTGCAATGCAGGAGATCCAGGTTCTATCTCTGGGTGGGGAAGATCCCCTGGAGAAGGGAATGGCTACCTACTCCAGTATTATAAGTTCAATCAAAATGTATCATAAAAGCACTAACACTGCAGCTAAGGCCACCATACCCATTTATCGGAAGAGAAAACAGGCATTAAACCAGTTGTTTTGTATTTGCAGAGCAACAGATCAGCTGACTAAATTTTTCAATTTTAAAAAATTATACAGACAACTCTTTGTTGTATAGGTTCCAAAGTAACTATTACCTTAATGAACTAGGTCAGCTTGTAAACTCAAATAGTCGAATAATCTGTTTTTTAAAAATCCACCAAAACTAGTTGTATTACTGAATTTTACTATCAGTTCTAACAATGCTTTACATTGAAACCCTTTGCAGACATCTTTTTTTTTCTTTTTCTTTCTTTTTTTTTTTTTTTTTTAGCTGCACTGAGCAGCATGTGGAATCTTAGTTCCCTGGATAAAACCTGTGCTTCCTGCATGGGTTTGATCCAGGAAGGCAGAGTCTTAACCACTGGACCAACAGGGAAGTCCCTGCAGGCAACTTTCAGTTGCATCCTTGCCCTGCTCTTGTTTATAGTCACTAGCATACAAAGTTGTTATCACTTATTTACTATCTTCTCACATGAGATTCTAAGCTCCTATGGCCAACCACAATATATAATTCACCATGGTGTCTAGCACTGAGCCTGGCAGATAAAAAGTGCTCAATAATATGTGCTAAGGCATTTTAATACTCTAAATATTCAAACCATTATCTCCAAAGAATAAAGTGGGAGTTAGAGAAGCCAAAACTATCTTGTCAGGGAGGTATTTTGGGGGTCGCTGGCTATTCGGTGCCTTTCAACGCATGAAAATAATCTCTGACAGAACCAGCCCTGTTCACTGTGTCAAACTGAGTGACCTCTTTGATTGCTTCTAGGTGTTCCTCAGCACCACCGGAGGGGCATGGGTGATCAGCCGGGTCTTTGACTCAGGGTACCCATGGGACATGGTTTTCCCGACACGATTTCAGAACACATTCATAAATTCTCTTCCAACTCCAATTGTGAATTGGTTGATAGCGAAAAGGATGAACAGCCGGTTCAATCATGCAAATTATGGCTTAATACCAGAAGACAGGTAAATGCAGAGGGGCTGCAGAAGGCTCTTAGGGAGAAGGGGCATCGGACCTTCCAGCAGCCATAATACAGCAACAAGACTGAGTATGAAGGAAAACTTCCTATAAATTACTTAGTCATACTGGCTAACTGTTTTCAGTGCTTGGTAAGTAGAATTATGATACATAACTGTCAACAACCCTTTAAAGTAAACCATATAACCTCCCTTTCAGAGTGTGTATACTAAGACTTAGGGAAATTCAGTCACTTGCCCAAGTTAATCTAGTACCAAGCAGACTCTGTGACCTTGGCAAGGTACATAAACCTTAGTTGCAGCAATAAAAAGAGAATAATATTTCTATGACTCTTCCAACAAAAACAACACATTTGCCTATTTCACACTGTGGGGAAAACTTAATCCTTCACCATCTTTCAAAGGACAGTGCCTTCTTCAGATGACCTTGATTTCAGTCTTATCCTTTCAGTTACAAGCCATTACTTAGCCCGTTAAAAAGTACCAGTGGTTTTATTTTACTTTCTCATTCATTGACTCTGTACAATGATATTCCATTGCCAGGGTAGCACCACAGCCTGGAGATCCTGTCTGATCTTCCCCCAGATTCCACTCTGGACCAGGACTGATCAGGTGGCACCCAAGCCACCAGGGTTGGGAGACAGCCCCCTTCCTACTACATGCACTTCATTCCTCTGGGTCTCTTCATCCTTCTCTCATACACCTTCCTCTCTCCCTGCTCTTCTAGTCCTGCTATTGTCTCCATATTTTTCATTTCTTACCTACCCTCTTCTATTGCCTAACTCCAGGTCCCCTAGGAGTTTTAAACTTTTCACCAGAGCCTTTCCTACCATAAGCTTGATTTAGCCTGAATGGCCACTCAAAAGACTTTATTTAATCCCACAAAGCCTAGAAAATGTAAAAGAAGCCTGAGGAATGTAATATCGTCCCTGTTAGATTTAGCTAATCCTTTTTCATTTCCAAAGTTCTTAGAAATACACTATTTCATATGTTCTTCATCCTACCCAATCAACTAACAAAGATGGCAAGTATTAGCACACCTATTTTACAGATGAATAAGAGAGCCTACAAAGATGAAATGGTTTCCCCAAGATCTGTTGAGTATAAACATTTGGACACAAAGCCACCCTTACTACCTCCTGCTCCAGAGCTCCCTCCATTTGATCACATCGTCTGTTTCTGTGCATTCACCATAAGCCCAAAATGACTCAGCTTACTTAAAATCATCTAGCAAAGCATTTGCTTTGTGATTCCAAAGACACAGCCAGAAAAGGCTGATTCCAAAGGCACAGCCAGAAAAAGCTACTTCTGCCCTTGTTCCTTTTAAACACAGGCATACTTTCCTTGTACAATTGCTTCTGAGGAGGAGAGAGTTTCTAGCATTTCTCAGCAGATAGAGAAGTCCCTGGTTTCCCTTGTGGTCCTTCAGCATTCAGCTATCTCTAGAATGACAGGGATAACTGCATGCTAGAATTCAGCAGGAGAAGTAGAACTAGAGAAAACTCTGACCTCCTTCTCCCCAGGCTTCTCAATTCTTGTAAATGGTAAGCATGGTTCCATCTTCTTTCTTGGTCGTTCATGAATCCACTCCCACAGAGGTAACTTCCCACAGTACTGTCACCTCCTGCCTAGCTGAGGGGAGAGTCTCAGAATGAAGAGGAGAAGGGGAGGAGGAGGGCGGGCTGACGGCATCAGTTCCTGGCAGATCTCTTCCTTATCCGTGTTAATGTCTAGGGTACAACTAAGAGAGCCTGTGCTAAATGACGAGCTCCCAGGCCGTATCATCACTGGGAAGGTACTCATCAAGCCAAGCGTTAAGGAAGTGAAGGAACACTCTGTCGTATTTAACAACACCCCAAAGGAAGAGCCCATCGATATCATTGTTTTTGCCACTGGATACACTTTTGATTTCCCCTTCCTTGACGAGACTGTAGTGAAAGTCGAAGATGGCCAGGCATCGCTGTACAAGTACATCTTTCCTGCACATCTACCCAAGCCAACCCTGGCTGTCATTGGTCTCATCAAACCCTTGGGCTCCCTACTACCCACAGGGGATACACAAGCTCGATGGGCTGTTCGGGTCCTGAAAGGTAAGTGTATAAGAAATAGGAGGACATGGGAATTCCCTGGCAGTCCAGGGGTTACAACTACTCATTTCACAGTGGAGGGCTCAGGTTCAATCCCTGGTTGGGGAACTAACAGCTCACAAGCCACATGGTGTGGCCAAATTAAAATAAATTAATTAATTTTAAAAAAAGAAATAACAGGATATATGTGTTCAGTTTACCATGTCATTTTAGATACTGGAAATTTTAAGACTTTTCCCACCTCCCATCTAAAATAATAGAATTTTTAAAAGCAAATTCATCTATTGTTCACTGAATTACAATATCATAATGAATTTGTGCCAGTACAAGCACAAAAGATAAATCATGGATCAAAAAATCTCAGCTGCTAGTCTGACTGAATCAACTGGTTCAATGAACATTTGAACATTTTAAAAGCTCAATCAATTGAATGACAAATTCAGTCAAGTCAGTTGTGAGGTTCTGCAATATCAAATAAGTAGGGAGGGGATTTGATTCTTATCTCTTCAACTGGTGGCATAATCACCAGGAGTTAACATTACTCTGCTAACATTTCTGCCAAAAGAACAGATGACTTGCCGGGTACTAGATATAAAAGATGTGCAGTAGTAAAGCATCTTTGCCTGCTAAGTAAGCACTGAAGTTATATTGCATTTTTGTTTATCTGTTTGCTTTATAGGTGTGATTAAGTTACCACCATCAAGCATCATGATTGAGGAAGTTAATGAAAGAAAGAAAAATAAGCCCAGTGGGTATGTTAACTGCTATGCATTCTTTTTGAATCACAACTAAAACTGGTAAAGCAAGAGCAAAGAATGGTGTGAGTTACACTGGAGAAAAAAGCGGCTAAGACTGAAAAGGAGGGGGGAAAAGACTAAGCTAACCTGTTAAACGAAAGAGAGGAAAAGGAAACTGAGGTTTTAACATCCTAAACCATCACTTTAGACCATGGTCATCTAGCATGACATGGAGACCTGGAGTTTATATCCTAAAGCCAATGTAATTAATCCTTATCTACCAGATATTACTCTATACTTCTATCCATAATCAGAAGGCAAGCTGTTGTGTTTATCCACTCTGACACAAAAGGGTCTGCTCATTCATTCATTTCAGCAAATCCACGTTCAGCTCTCCTGTTTTTATTCAGACGTTCACTCTAGAACAGGAGTCAAAACAGGGCCAATGGACCAAATCTGCCAAACACCTATTTTCCTATATTAAATCACTAGAAAGAAGAAGATTTTATGATATGTGCAAATTTTGTAAAATTCACATCATTGTGGCCATAAGTAAAGCTTTATTAGCACACAGCCCCACTGAAGTTTGGGCTTCCCTGGTGGCTCACTGGAAAAGAATCTGCCTGCCGATACAGAAGACACAGGTTTGATCCCTGGGTGGGGAAATCCCCTGGAGAAGGAAATGGCCACCCACTCCAGAATTCTTGTCTGGGAAATCCCATGGACAGAGGAGCCTGGCGGGCTACAGTCCATGTGGTTGCAGAGTCAGACGCGACTGAGCAGACTCGATTTAAGTATTGTTTAAGACTGCTTTCGCATTAGGACAGCAAAGTTGACTAGCTGAGGTAGAGACTGTAATATGGCCCTCGTAGACCTTAAATATTTAGCATCTAGCCTTTTGCAGAACAAGTTTGTCAGCCCTTCTCCAGAGAGAGGTCTCCACTTGGGCTCTGCTTTTTGGCTACCACAAAGGGCCAGGGACAGTGGAAGGTAGATGGCCAGCTGGGAGGGACTCTTGCTCTCCCCAGCCCCTAATCCTAAAGCACCTCTGATTTTCTCGGTTTTACTGTTTATGTTTCAGACTTTGACATATATTTTTCACTTGGGAAAAAGAAGGGGTTTGTGGCCGAGAAAAAAGACTTAAAATCACTGCATTTAAGAAACACCACTTTTCTCCTTCATATATATTTCCAAATTTCAAATGTTTTACTATCCTTGTCAAAGTCCTAAATCCCAAAATTATAAAAGCACTTCCAGTGTCTCTTCTTCTTTCTCAACCTGGGATATGATTTGATCTCCATTATGCAATTCTAGTATAACATAAATCACTAAGTAGAACTACATGAAGCAACAGCTTTTGTCACTTTGGTCAGTCAAGGGATTAATTAATTAAAGACTAATACCAGCATTACACAGAATTTCACCCTAATGAGTTTTGTGATTTTTCACATTATACAGATCAACCAATAATTGAGTTTTAGGAAGATATAAGAATAGTAAAATTATATAAAAACTTTTTTGCTAGAAATTGCAAATCTTTTAACAGTAGAACTAAAGTAATACTGGATTCATTATCAGCATTTGACAAACGATGTGTACAGAGTGTTTTTTCAAAGGATCTATCTTGTATTTAAGCAATACCATGAGACCATTTGACAGCTATGGGCGTGGAGGGAAGAATACAGAAACCAGTTCAAATTTTGTGGCCTCATTGTTTACCTCTGGCACTTTTACTTGTTCTAAAGTTACCATTATTTAATCTTTTTGTTTTCTCCTTTATCCCAATCTTCCTTTTATAAAGGTTTGGCTTGTGTTACTGCAAAGCTTTGCAAACCGATTATATCACATATGTAGATGAACTCCTGACCGCTATCAATGCAAAGCCCAACCTGTTCTCTCTGCTCCTGACGGATCCACGCCTGGCTTTGGCCATCTTCTTTGGCCCATGCACACCATACCAGTTCCGTTTGACTGGTCCGGGGAAATGGGAAGGAGCCCGAAATGCTATCATGACCCAGTGGGACCGAACATTCAAGGCCACCAAAACTCGAATTGTACAAGAATCCCCATCTCTCTTTGCAAGCTTACTTAAACTCTTCAGCTTTCTAGCTTTGCTTGTGGCCATTTTCCTGATTTTCCTATAAATAAAAAATTACCTAAATAAACTATCAAATGCACAGAGTAGGTGGACAGCAATCTGGTTCCCCCACTGCAACAACTTTGCCTTCATGACTATAATCTATATCTGAGCAATGAAAGCCACCCCTTCCCCTTCCCTGGCTGGCTTGAGGACCCACTAGTATTCCTGAGTATCTCCCAGCTCTACCTGCTTCTAATGATAGAGAAAGATAACCAAGATTTCTGTACATTTGAAGGCTGCTGGAAGATTCAGGGTTCATTTTAGAAGAGAGAGTTGTCTCAGACACCACTTTGAGAAATTAGACCTCTTTCCTATTTTCATATATCTCAATTAAAACTCAATATTTCATGAAACATTTGGTTGTATTAAAATGGCACTCTTATGGTATCAGTTGATTAAAAATAAAAAGAAAGCAAAAGCCTAGGATTACCTTGAGTGGTCTTTAATTCTCTTTTTAAGAGTTGGGGGACCATCAGCAGATGAATGGATGAGGAAGCTGTGGTACATATAATAAATGGGAAAAAAAAAGAGTTGGGGGAAAGAGAAAAGTGGATGAGAAGTCTATTAATAAAGACCATAAAAGGATGGGAGGTGTCAACGACTTGGTTGGAGTGTTTCTATAGGAATGTACCTGCCTAGAAGTGCCCATGCCCCTAGAATACACTCTTCAACCAAACAGGGTCTTCAGCTGACATAAGAACAAACCCAATCAGATCTATTCCACAGAAAGCAACCACCTCCACCCGCTCTTGGAACCAGCCTCCAGCATCCAAAGGAAAAACATCTTCCACTCACATACACCTTTACAACTCTGCTTAAAGAGGGAAACGGCTGTCTCTTCTAAGAGTCAACCAGACCCAATTGGAAAAGACAGAGCTGAGAAGTCTTTCACAGAGAGATAATAGGAGAAAGGAAAGACAGGAAAAGAAGAGCAAAGGCAAACACCGTGTCTAAAGCAGCTTTTGACCAAGCTATACCAACGCTGGATCCTCTCTCACAGTTACACATTTGAGAATCTGACTCAGCCAGAAAAGGTATTGCCTTCACATCATCTCACTGAGGGGCTTAGATGGCACACTTCACCTCACAGACAGGCCCATGGTTTGCACACTGGAGGAAATTCAAAACTGACAGACTCAGGATTGAGTTGTGTAGGTAAGAAGAGATGCAGTTTGTGTCGCTTCCACTCTGGTCTGCTCTTCCAGCTCCTCTTTCTTGTTCCATTTTTTAACACTTCTAACCTATTTCACTTCTTAACATATGTGATATTGTGATATGTAATAACAACAGTACATTTGGCCTTCCTCCTCATTTCCAGCACAGAACTCCTAAGACTCTTGAAATCTCCTAAGTGATGAGAACATAAAAATATCTTTTGTTAATGAGGTGACTCTCGGAAAACACCTAAAGATGGGGGCCAATCACCAGGAGAACCATCCATGTGATTAGAAGATTGGAATTGTCCTTCCACCCCTTGGATCTGTGGGGAGGGGAGAGGCAGGCTGGAGGTTGAATCAATAACCAATGGTTAGTGACTTAATCAATCATGTCTATGTAATGAAACCTCTGTAAAAACCGAAAAGGATGAGGTTCAGAGAGCTTCCGAGTTGGTGAACACATAGAGATTTAGGGAGAATGGTGCCCTTGAGAGGACATAGAAATTCCATTCCCTTCCACCTACCTTGCCCTGTGTAGCTCTTCTATCTGGCTATCCCTAAATTATATCATCCTTTTACAATAACTAGTTATCTATAAATAGAATGCTTCTCTGAGTTCTGGGAGCCAAACTAGTTCACAAAAGCACTGATTATTTTAGCAAATTGTTGAACCCAATTAGGGGCTCATTGAAACTTCCTACCTACAGCTGGTTCTCAGAAGCACAGGTGACAACCTGGGCTCATGATGGACATATGAAGAGAAAGCAATCTTGTAGGACCAAGCCCTTAACCTGTAGAACCTGATACTATCTCTAGGTAGATAGTGTCAGAATCAAGTTCAACTATAGGAAACCCAGCTGGTCTCCAAAAACTGCTCAATGGTGTGGGAAGAAAACCCCCACACATACATTGGAATTGGAAGCAGAACACTTAATATAGGAACTCATAGTGGAAAAACTGCTCTGCTGAATATAATAGAAAAGACTTTGGGAAAAGCTTTTCTCTCCCATGAAGCAGAGCTGACACTTGAGCATTCCTCATGAAGTTGGCTGGGAACGTTGGGTACCCAGGGTGAAGCAGGGCAAGGTGAACTATCCAGGCAACCATGGGGCAAACTATGGGAACAAGCTGGAGCCTGAATCTAATCTCATCTGCTGAACACATTGTACCAAGAGACTGAATACACAGACAGATTATTGCCAAACCATCTACAGTAGAACTCTTACCCATAACCTCTGCAACAATCAGATTAAAACACGCAGGACCAAGACTTGGTCAATAAGTGCCAGCTTCTCTAACTTTTGCCCTGGTTCCAACTCAGAAACAACAAAGAAAATCAAACATAATCCCCAAACCAGGCAGATGTGATGCCTTGTTTCTCATTAGCCCGCCTCCACCTTTCCGACGCCAACAATCTCCAATAAGAGTATGTCTGAATCCCTCCTATTTTCTAATTTTTTAAAAAATTCCCCTTCCTGCCTTTGAATCTCTGCCAAATGTAATGATGGTAGCTGAGTTTCTTACCATGGCAAGCTCTGTCTTCATGGGGAAGTCAGTGCTACACAATTTAACAAGAAACAGACAAGGAAATATCAGCTGATTACTCCAAGGTTGTGCTGTTTGTGGTTTAGTTGCTAAGTCGTGTCCAATTCTTCTGCAACCCCCTGGACTGTAGCCTGCCAGGCTCCTCTGTCCGTGAGATTTCCCAGGCAAGAATACCCGAGTGGGTTGCCATTTCCTTCTCCAGGAGATCTTCCCGACCCAGGGATTGAACCCACACCTCCTGCATTGGCAGGTGGATTCTTTACCACTGAGTCACCTGGGAAGCCCCTAGTCCAAGGTAACAGAACTAATAAGTGGCTGCGTGAAGACATGGATCTGCAAAACATATATCCAGGGATCTTCTTAATGCCAGCATTTAAGCCTGTGGTTTCCAAAGTGCAAATGACTTCAGAAGTCTTAATAGTGATATCATGAAAGTCATATTACAAAGATATTGCTCCACGAACGCATCCATACGTCTCCCTTTCTCACTCTGCCTGAGTGTGTGTATAGACCTGCCTCTCTATCCAAGCACATCTGCCCTGCTCTGTCTGGGATTTTGCAGCTAATTTCCTCCATGTAGACCACCATGCTTCTGAATCTCCACATGCATCTTTTTCACTGTTCATCCCTCCCTCTTCTTCTCTGACCATGACTATTCTAGAACTACTCTGTGGCCATAGTGTAGAACAAGTTCAATAGGAAGAAGGGGTTTCATTCCTCACCTTGGAATTAGGCCATAAATCATACTGGGAAACAGTATGTCAATTATAGTTTTACAGAGTTTTCAAACATCTCTCAGAACCAAAATTAGATAACCATGAAAGGAGTGCTCTTGACAATGCTTATTCATTTATTTAACTGTGAAAGAATAAAAACAAATATTTATTGAGTACTATTTATTTTTAAACTGTGCAGTTCTACATCAGTTCAGTTCAGTCGCTCAGTCATGTCCAACTCTTTGCGATCCCATGGACTGCAGGACACCAGGCTTTCCTGTCCATCACCAACTCCTGGAGCTTACTCAAACTCATGTCCATTAAGTTAGTGATGCCATCCAACCATCTCATCTTCTGTTGTCCCCTTCTCCTCCTGCCTTCAATCTTTCCCAGCATCAGGGTCTTTTCCAATGAGTCAACTCTTCCCATTGGGTGGCCAAAGTATTGGAGCTTCAGCTTCAGCATCAGTCCTTCCAATGAATATTCAGGACTGATTTCCTTTAGGATAGACTGGTTGAATCTTCTTGCAGTCCAAAGGACTCTCAAGAGTCTTCTCCAACACAGTTCAAAAGCATCAATTCTTCGACACTCAGCTTTCTTTATAGTCCAAATCTCACATCCATACAAGACTATCGGAAAAACCATAGCCTTGACCAGACAGACCTTTGTTGGCAAAGTAATGTCTCTGTTTTTAACATGCTGTCTAGGTTGATCATAGCTTTCCTTGCAAGGAGTCTTTGAATTTCATGGCTTTTAATTTCTGCAGTGATTTTGGAGCCCAAAAGAATTCTACATAATTGCCAAATGAATTCTACATAATTACCTATTGAAATACATTTTTTCCATTACTGATTGAAACACATCCCATGCATAAGAACAAATGAATCTAGTTATTGTTGCCCTAATGGTCCAGGAGCGAGCAAGGAGAATGAAGACAGAACACGAAATCTGGTGCAATGCGTCAGGGGACCTGCAGCCTCTATTGGACTGACATGCACAGTCCATCCTGAGTCCAGCTTTTGTTCCTAATTGCTGACTACAGGACTTTCTCAGATCTTATCTTTCTCAAGACACATGCTGTGTTGATCACCCACTCCTAAATGTCATGACTATACTGACATAGTCCAGATCTCCTTGTGTTTAGCCCAGGCCAATCCCTTCTGGGCTAGTCTTAGGAACAATTAGCAAGTATGCAGTATTCACGCCTGGTGCCAACCCGGTGTTCCAAGGTCCATGCCGTCAGGATCCCAGTCATACTCCCTTCTGGATCTGGCCTTGGGGTTTGTAACAAGGCAATTATTCTCAAGAAAAAAATGAAAGATAATCACTAACATAATTTCTTAATATATGCTGTTTTACCAGGTGCTATTTCTGTGAAATTTCTCAGGGCTGTGAAAGTACATTATTAAGAATTCCCACTACAAGTTAGGTCCCAGAAACCTAGCAAAAGTAAAAACATATTAAACACTTTGGCCTCTGGCACATCCTTTAAATCAGAAAGACTGGTAAGGCATTTCAACTCTAGGGTAATTTTACACTGTCAGAAATTCTTTTTAGTGTATACAAATAGCACCCCCTACTGGACCTATCTTTTTCTACAGTCCAACACTCCAGATCTTTCATTACACCCTGCTGTAGAGCTGCTTAAAGAACTGAAATGAGTGCAGTAGTTCTGCCATTTACGAGCTGTGTGAACCTGAGGTGGTAATGCACTTTTCTGAAGCTACAGTTTTCTTTCCTACTGCATAAAAGTTACAACACATCCTACCTCGTAGAGTCTCACAAGGATTAAACAGTGTAATCCACCATTCCAGAAAGAATGAAGAGACGGAATCAAAGCAAAAACAACACCCAGTTGTGGATGTGACTGGTGATAGAAGCAAAGTCTGATGCTGTAAAGAGCAATATTGCATAGGAACCTGGAATGTTAGGTCCATGAATTAAGGCAAACAGTAAGTGGTCAAACAGGAGATGGCAAGAGTGAACGTCAACATTTTAGGAATCAGCG